ACACACACTACGCCACCTATACACACACACTACTGCCCGTATGCACACACTCGCTACATCCCCTATAACACTATGCCCCTATACACGCACTCTCTACAGCCCCTAGCCACACATATTTACACCACAAAATTGACCTATTTACACAATACCACACCACACTCTACACACAGGCAATCCCACAAGCATGCGCCAAACACATGCACCATACACTTTCCTGGCCCTTTTGTCCTCTGGTATCCCACTTGTGGAGACACCAGAGACAATTTAAAAGCAAACACAGCGTAAGCATGTTATTACATTTGCTTGCGCTGGGCAGAACAAATACAGGGCCTTTTTCTAATGCTAGAGCTCTTCAGCGGGGCTCTGCGCATTGAACCAACATGCTCACTTTCTCTGGCCCCGCCCCCTTTTTTGGGGGCCGCTCTAATTGAAAAATGCCCGGGCCTAATTTTTTTCCCAGTCCGGCCCTGATTTGCATCTAGTAAAGAAGACCACACATATATTCAAGAATGGGGATCATTTCACTCCAAGCCCTTTGCAAGAAGCCACCAGGAGGCTCAGCTAAATGTGAGTGTGCATTTATACAGTATATATTTTTTTCACTATTCTGGATATCTTGTATACTGCTGTATATTAGTGTTTCTGCTTGTATTACATAACTGAATCACACTGTATTGGACCAAGACCGCAAGACCAGGGATATATCCCTAGGCAGTGATTGTACCACCCAAGCTCTACATCTGGAGGAAGTCTATAGTTCCAATCACTGTAAGTGTATTTAATTCCTTTTTGCCATCCTAGAAGTATCTACATACTACACTATATTACCTCTTTTTTGTCTTCTTTTCTATTTTATATGTCTCTGGATCTGAGGATCTCATCAATGTGCTGCTCCCTAATTTCATCTTTTCTATCATACACCAGCAACCAGATTGGAGAGACTCTGGTTTGGGTTACTTAAGCTGCCTTTCACATTCGAGCAATAAGCGCTAGAAACCTACCCATTTTTTTCGTGTGTGTGTCTGTGCTTATGTACAGTCTTGACATGTTTGGTATGGAATATTTGTATGGAATAATTTTACCAATGCCAGATATAATACAAAATCTGAATTTCTTTATATGTTCTTCAAACTTCCTCCAATACTTATTCATTTTTGGGTATTTCCAAATCATGTATAAGATCTCCTCCCTCAGCCCTACGCCTCTAACAAAAAAGATCCAAATTTTTATTTCCAAAATCTGGTCACCCTGATTAAGGAGTATATCTATTAACACACATGAAAACACTATATACCACACTATAGGTGAGAGAAGGTTCTCCTATGCACATTGTTTATTTTAAGAGATTCAAATAAAATTAATTTCATTATAGGAACAAATAAAAAATATAAAGAAAG